CCAGCCTGCGCGCCGCCGACGCGAGCATCCACCTGCCGCGCTGGAGGACGCTGAGGAGCATCGTGGAGAGGATGGCGAACGTGGGCGATCACGTGCTGGTGGAAGCAAACCTCAGGGGCAGGATGACCCTGAGTATGGAGACGGAGGTGGTGTCCATTAAAAGTTACTTTAAAAATCTTGGAAACCCTCCGGAGTCGGCTGGTGTGCCTCCACACAGAGACCTGGAGAGCATGGTGCAAGTGCGGGTAGATAATCGGAAGCTCCTGCAGTTTTTGGAGGGACAGCAAATAAATCCCACGATGGCCTTATGCAATATTTGGGACAATAGTCTTCTTCAGCTTGTTTTGGTTCAAGAAGATGTCTCTCTCCAGTATTTCATTCCTGCTTTGTAAAAATTCAGCCAGCGTAGATTTCTTTTTTTTAAGCTTATGATCTTTTCAAAACTGAAACAGACCCTGAGTTAATTGGGTTGAAAGTTTGCACCTTCTCTGACTTATACAGGGCGTATATTTTGTGGAGCCCTTCCTCCTCTGCAAAATTTATATTAAAGCATTGATAAAACAGTTGGGTAGTTTATGTTTTTGTTTGTTGGGTTTGTCAGTTTTTTTTTTTCCTGCTTAAGATTCTAACAAGAAAATTATTCTTCAACTCTTTTTTTCGGGGGGAAAAACAGGGTTGTAATGAAATAAATATTTTTGAATTCTGAAACAATTGCATCAGTATTTTATTATAAAATGCTGCTGTGTAAAGCGGGAAAGTTCTCATTTTAAAATATGCATAAATGTTTTCCGAGGGTATTTCTTATGTAGAGAGCTGAATATATCTGCAAGATGAAAGGTATTTAGCGTGTGTGCGCATTACATATTCTTTGTTAAGCTGTGTTTTGTCGTAGGATATATCAAAGAATGTATCAGTATACATGGTTTTGAGATTTATTATCTACATAGTTTGAATTATTTATTAGATTCATTTTTCACAATTTTCCACATGTATCATATTCACATTAGGAATCAAGGAAATATAGGCTTATCTCAGAGATATTCCAAGTTTGGTTCCACGCAAAAAGCAAATATTGCAATAAAGACAGATGAGTTTTTGGATTTTCAGTACATATAAACCTTATGTTTGCATTACACTGTAGTCTGTTGAGAGTACAATAGTACTATGTCTAAAAAAGTACACATCTTAATTTTAAAATACTTCATTGGTAAAAAATGCTACTCATCATCTGAGCCCTCAGCAAGTCATAATCTTTTTGCTGGTGGGAGGTCTTTATCTCCCTCTTGATAGCTGCTGACCGATTCTAGTGGTGGTTGTTGGAAGGCTCAGGTAGCTGTGGCAGTTTCTTAAAATAAGGTAGTGAACTTGCTGGATCGATTGACTTTTGTGAAAGATTTCTCTTTATCATGGGATGCTTTGGGTATTTTGTCCACGGTAGAACTTCTCTCAAAACAGTCAGTCCTCTCAAACCCTGCTACTGGTTTATCAACCAAGTTTATACACTGTACTAAATCTTTAGTTGTTATTTCAACAGTACTCACAGCATCTTCACCACGAGTAGATTCCATCTCAAAAAAATCACTTTCTTTGCTTATCTATAAGAAGCAACTCTTCATCTGTTTGTTTTATCTTAAGAGTGTAGCAATTCCTTAAGGCTCTACTTTTTTTTTTTTTTTTTTTAAATCAGGGTCTTACTCTGTCACCCAGGCTGGAATGCAGTGGCACAATCATGGCTCACTACAGCTTCAAACTTCTGAGCTCAAACAATCCTCCTTCCACAGCCTCCCCCGTAGCTGGGACTATAGGTGCATGCCACCATGCCCAGCTAACTTTTTAATTGTATTTTGTAGAGAGGGAGTCTCACTATGTTGACCAGGCTGGTTTTGAACTTCTGTCCTCAAGAGATCCTCCCACCTTGGCCTTCCATAGTGCTGGGATTATAGGCATGAGCCACCATGCCCAACCTCCACTTCTAGTTCTCCCGCTACTTCCACCACACTTGCAGTGACATCCTCCACCAAAGTCTTGAACTCCTTGAAGTCATTCGTGCTGGTTGGAATCATATTCTTTTAGATTCCTGTTAATGTTGATATTTTGACCTCCTCCCATGAATCATCAGTGTTCTTAATGCCATCTAGAATGATGAATCCTTTCCAGAAGGTTTTCCATTTACTTTGCCAAGATCCATTAGAGAATCAGTATCCATGGCAGCTATAAATGTACAAAATTTATTTCTGAAATAATGAGACTTGCAAGATGAAATTACTCCTTGATCCATGGACTGCAGAATGGATATTGTGTTAGCAGTCATGAAAACATTCATCTCCTTTTGTGTCTCCACCAGAACTCTTGAGTGAGCAGGTGCATTGTCCATGAGCAGTAATATTCTGAAAGAAATCTTTTTTTCTGAGGATCAGGTTTCAACAGTGGTCTTAAATTATTCACTAAACCATGTGCTGTAAACAGATGTGCTGTCATCTAGGCTCTGTTGTTCTATTGATAGAACACAGGCAGAATAGATTTATCATCATTCTTAAGGGCCCTAGGATTTTCAGAATGGTAAGTGAGCATTGGCTTCCACTGAAAATCACCAGCTACATTAGCTCCTAACAACAGAGTCAGCCTGACCTTGAAGCTTTGAAGCCAGGTATTGACTTCTCCTCTCTAGCTATGAAAGTCCTAGATGGCATCTTCTTCCCAACTGTTTGTCTTCATTGAAAATGTGTCATTGAGTGTAGCCACTTTCATCAGTGATCTTATAATAGCTAGATCTTCTGGATAATTTGTGGCAGCTTCTGCATAAGTACTTGCTTCACCTCGCATTTTTATGTTCTGGAAATAGCTTCTTTTGTAAACCTTATGAACCATCCTCTTAACTACAGCCTTTTCTTCTGCAGCTTCCTTGCTTCTCTAAGCCTTCATAGCATTGAAGAGAGTTAGGGCTTTACACTGGGTTAGGTTTTGGCTTAAGGGAATGTTGTGGCTGGTTTGTCTTCAGTTTAGATCACTCATGCTTTCTCCGTATCAGCAATAAGGCTGTTTCAGTTTGTTATTATTCATGTGTTCACTGGAGTAACTTGATTTCCATCAAGAATTTTTCTTTTGCATTCATAACTGGGCTAATAGTTTGCCACAAGAAGGCCTGACTTTAGGCTGTCAGGTCGTTAGACATGGCTTCCTTACTAAGCTTATTTCTAGCTTTTGATTTGAAGTGAGAGACTTGAAACTCTTGCTTTCACTTGAGCACTTAGAGGCCATTGTAGGGTTATGAATTGGCCTACTTTCAATATTGTTATATCTCAGGGAATAGGGAGAGAGAATGCTGGTTGGTGGAGCAGTCACACACACATTTATCAATTAAGTTCCCTCTGTCATATGAGCCTGGTTTGTGGTGCCCCAAAACAGTTACAGTAGTAACATCAGAGAACACTGATCACAGATCACCATGACAGATAGAATGATAATGAATACGTTTGAGATAATGCAGGAGTTACCAAATGTGACACAGAGACATGGAGTGGCACATGCTTTTAGAAAAATGGCACTGATAGGCTTGCTTGATGCAGGGTTGCCACAAACCTTCAATTTGTAAAAAGTGCAGTATCTGAGTAGTACAGTAAAGTGAAGCACAATAAAAGGAGGTAAACTGTAGTCAAGTTCATGTTAACTAAAATGTTGCTTTAAGGGTAATTTTTGGATAAATCAGGTTTCCATTCATCCTCTTCCCTTCCCCATCCCCAGCCCCACCAGTATTCCAGTACTTTACTTATAAAATAATTCTTACTGTTTCATTGTTTTGAGAAAAAGGAAGAGAGGGGTTATAAAAGGATGATGGTATAGTGATGAACAGTCTCAGGGAGAGGAGTAGCTCATATTCTTTTATACTAAATTTTAGTTTAGTTTTTTTGGTGGCTTATGCAGTAAGATAAGCCGTTAACTTGGCAACCTTTATATTTGCATAGTTAGTAAATTCCCATGACTACATTTTATCAGTAATGAAAAGTTTCCTACTACTAGATTTGGTGATAAAACACTTAAACGTGTTAATTTATTTTGTTTTGATGATTTCTAAATTCCACCTGTGGTGGTGTGGAAAGAACACACAAACGTTAGACCCAGGCAAGTCACTTGAACCCTCTGGCTTATTAAGATCTGTTTCCTTTGGACTAGATTCTGATTTAATGCTATTAAAGTTATAACATGGGAAGTTTAAACAGTTGTTTTCAAAAGTATTTCTGAAGTAGTCTTTAAAAATTATTAATAACCACTTTGGAGGTATAGTGTATGCTCTTTGAAACTATACCTTCTGAGTTACATATAAAAATGTGTGAATATTTTATTTGGTGAGCATTTTCAGAGCTGTTTGCGAAGGTTTTTTTGTTTTGTTTTGTTTTGTTTTTTGTGAGATGGAGTCTCACTCTGTCATCCAGGACCGAGTACAGTGGCATGATCTTGGCTCACTGCAACCTCCGCCTCCCGGGTTCAAGCAATTCTCCTTCCTCAGCCTCCTGAGTAGCTGGGATTCAGGCGCGCACCACCACATCCAGCTAATTTTTGTATTTTTGGTAGAGACGGGGTTTCCCCATGTTCATCAGGATGGTCTCAAGCTCCCGACCTTGTGATCCGCCCGCCTCGGCCTCCCAAAGTGCTGGGATTACAGGCGTGAGCCACCGCGCCCGGCCATGAAGATTTTTAATCGAGCCATTTTTTGGTTCATTTAAAAAATGTTCTGCCCTCATGAGCACTTCTATAGACTTTATATTATTTTTATTTATTTATTTATTTTTTTGAGACAGAGTCTTGCTCTGTTGCCCAGGCTGGAGTGCAGTGGCACAATCTCAGCTGACCCTAACCTCAGTCTCCTGGGTTCAAGTGATTCTCGTGCTTCAGCTTCCCGAGTAGCTGGGATTACAGGCGCCTGCCATCACGCCTGGATAATTTTTTTTTTTTTTTTTT